GGTGGGAGGCTTGTGTGGTCCAAGGGACCTGCTCCTCTTGCCATGTCGCAGCTCTCATCATGGCCTTTACATCAGTGACGATAGGCCATTACGGATAACGATGGCCTCTGTGTCGGTGGCAGCAAACGACTGAAGAATCTTTTTTGCAAGATTGTCCACGGCAGTATTTGAATGCGCGGTTGCGAGCACTTTCTGATTTCGAAGCACTGCTATGTTTGCCATAGCAGCTGCAACATAAGTCTTGCCAGTACCACAGAGATGGCATTTCTCCGAATGCACTCCTCAATCCACATCCAGTAGACATCATCGGCACGGAGAAGTGCCAGCTCTGCCTCCAATGCCACACTAACAGGACTAAGACCACGGCTGGGCGGATTGTGGTATGTCCTGAATCTCATCTGCCTGCCATCGCCAGAAATGGTGATACTCAGAATCTTCTGGAGTCTCAAAACGCAAGGCCAGATGTGCAAGCCATAGTCGCAGCCAGGAGGCAGCGAGTAGATGTACTCTTGCACTCTGCCAGTATGACTAACGAACCATGCCAGAATGCAAGGGCTGTCACTCTTTGGTTTGGGTGCCAGACACAAGACAGGATTTGCGGATGCCTGGGATGAGCAAATTGCTGCAGCAGGAGTTGCTTGAGATGCTTGAGTTGCAGCGGTGGGTGCCTGAGATGCCTGGTTTGCTGGAGCCGAGGCTGCCTGACTAGGAGGTGCCTGACCAGGAGCTGCCGGAACAGGAGGTGCAGGAGGTGCAGGAGCTGCCTGGCGTGCCTGGGAAGAAGGCGTTGCCACAGGTGTAGGAGCTGCCCAAGCATCAGGAGGTCTAGGGTATGTCAGAGGAGCAGGAGGTGCTTGAGGTGCCGGTGCTGCTCGAATGACTGGTGCCAGTGGGATTTGGTATGCTGGATTAGGTGCCTCACGAGGTGCAGATGCAAGGTTATCTGCAAAAGCTTGCCAAGCAGTGCTTGACAAGCTTGCTGCTGGAGTGTGTGCCTGGGGTGCCTGGAAATCAAATGTATTAGTTGAGTGAATAGGTGAGTGGGTGAGTTAGTGAATGAATGAATGAATATGTGTGAGAAAGCTTACCGGTGGAGGTGTCATGGTTTGCAGGATGCCGAAACTCTCCTGCACAGGTCGAGGAATGCCAAAGGTGCCAATCATTGCAACAACATCAAATCTCTCGGAGGGATTGGATGCCAGGTAGTACCAAACATCTTTGGTCTCGTTGTATGCCGGAGATTCGATGCCAAATGCTCGCTTAGCTGCCGGAGTAACAATGGTGTACAGGACCTGCAAAAACCCGAAGATGAGCGAAACGTTTTTGCAAAGGCCACAAAGTAAAATGCAAAACTTCATATTAGGTTGAAACTTACCCAAATACGACTGTACTTGTCCCCGCCTGCCAGTTTAACAGAATTCAGAGTGTCCAAGATTGCCTGGTGGAAGACTGCCTTGGACTGCTCAGAGTCCTGTGCCAGTAAGGTGAATACCTGGAAAATGCGAGTTGCCTCGGCTCCGAGGTCAACGTACTCCATTTTGCCAGATGGTTGCTCCCCAAAAGGCGTTTGAGGAGCAAAAAAGGTGTAGGTGTGTGTGTGTGTATGTATGTATGTGTGTGTATATGTATGTGTATGTGTATATATTTCTTTTCTTTTCTTTTCTTCTTTTTTTTTTATTCTTTTTTTCTTCTCTTCTTCTTTTTTTCTCTTCTTCTTTTTCTCTCTCTT